TAAGTTTATATTACACGCGTCCTAGTCAGGCTGGCAGAGGAAGAGCGTAGGTGGCAAAGATACATTCCCGGCTAAAATCAGACTAGGTTCAAGCCCCTTTTCGCAGCTATGCAACTAGCCGACAAAGTCGGTCGTCAGTAGGTTCTTTCTTCTGCTTAACTGCACAAAGACGCCATATTATTTGATCAATAAGCATGAAAAGATAACATGATGTAGACAAAAACAAACTCTAAGAACACAAAAACTTCTAGTCACTAACGTCCATCGCCGGAACCCCAATTAGTGGAAACCCAAACGCGACGGCCGACCGATTCGGAAATAATTTTGAAGCAGAAGTATTTCTCCTTCCACTTATCATCCCTAATTGAAACGCCATCAAGCACCCCGAGAATCGGGCAAGGAGAGATGTAATAAGTCCCTCGTGCAACAGAATTGGGCTTAACATCGCAGATCCAGAGCAAATCCGGAACGCTCAGAGCGACACCTTCCTCCCGAGCAAGCACCGTGAACCTGATGATGTGCCGGATAAAATTTGGCATCATCTGGGGGGAAGGAAAGTTCGAGACAGTCTAAAACCTCGAATAAGACCGAGGGAATGGGAAACTTTAGCTCGCAGCTGGTGAAATAGTGCATGTAGGCACAGCAAAAGCCTTGTCGCACTATTTCCGGAGACTGTCCGGGATCGGGAAGAACCAGATCGACCTCGTCGGGGATTCCGTGTTTTGCCATCAGATCAAGAAAGTTTTGAACCGATAGGGCAGATGGGGCATGCGGGCCAAACCTTTTGGCTCCATAATTACTGGAATTGGCCTTGCCGCTGCGTCTGGTGTTCATCGGCATCGCCGGAGACTCCGATTCCATCAGAGAAAGTTGAACGGTTTCGCAAAATTAGGGTTCGCAGCGGATAATCTCAGGGTCACGAGCACGAAGAACGAGAAAGAAAGAAAGTAAGGGTGATGCGGGAGCAGACGTGCAAGACAAGGAAGCAACGCAAGGAGTAGAGAAGAAGAACGGGCTGGCTGTCACCTTGCTGATTCTGGCCCAGCCTATTAACTAAGACGTGAGAGCATTCTTTTGGGCTGGATTTGATGAAGATAAGATTACTTAAGTGATTTCAGGCTCAAACAAGCTAAAGAGAAGCCCATTTCGTATCTGGTCAAAACAACATTAAAATCAGGCTGTTTCTCTCTCTTACATGCATAAAAGAGTTTGAATTTAAATTTCTAGGTGCTCTGCATGTAGAGCTTTAATTATGCACGTTTTAATGTATTTTTCTCTATATATTGAGGTTCTTATTGATGAATAAAAATCAAAAAATGAGTTTGAGAATTTGGACTATCTTTGTGACCCCTTTTGATATGTTTAAATCGTTTACCTTTATCCTTTGATTTTAGGAGAGTCATTGGGGGTGGTTTCGAGCGTTTTTATCCAGGAGTGGTGCTAGCTCAGCGGATTTCTTTATCAGCTCCGGTGCTCCGGCTTTACGAGTTGTGGAGATTCCGTATCTTCCTCTTATCCGGTTACTTCAGTTATGTTCAAATTTTTCTTGTTACGGTCTCTATTTCAATCACTCCGTTCGCTTCCTGCTAAACGCATCAAAGGGGGAAAAGATTCCTAACAGTTACAAGAAAAGAGCAAGATGATTCTCTCGAATCGAATTAAACAAATAAAATAAAGCAATTACGAAATATAAAAAAGATATAGGGAAGTTAATTACCTCGATAGTGGGAAGCGTGAAGCGGTTTTATGGAGAAGGAAGGTGGAGCATTAATACAAGTAATGATGCTCTGCTCGAGAACCACACCAAACCGTTCAGATGCTCGAATCTTAGCCTTATATCTCGCTGAGATATCATACGAGTATATCAAGAATATATTCAAACTGATCCCTCAGCATGCCTGAAAAGATCTCGTCTTCTAAGCTTTCTTACTTATCGCTTAAAGGATTGGGGGCAATTTTTGGTGTTGTATTTTGCACCCCAAAATAAGGCCCAAGAGAGGCCCATTAGTAATGAGTCAGGCCCACCGAATTAGGTCCCGCGGATTAGCCCAAACGAACCAGCTAGAAGGAAACACTGCAGCCTGCAGATACAGGTGGAGTAAGTATAGTGAGAGGACGAGTTTATGCTTAGCCCGTTTCATTAAATGCCCAAAACGTACAACCAAAGGGCCCAGTCGATGTGCTAAGTGATTGGGCTCAATAAAAAAGTTAACAAATATAGACGCGAACTGAATGACAGAGAGGAGCTCAGGATTGCAAGCATAATCAGTCAAGCCGGAGAACTCGGAGCTCGTGCTGAGGAAACAGGATCGTGAGAAGAATATGATGCACGAATCTAGAAGCGGTTGAACCCGACTGGCCACCTATATAAATAGAATTTAGGGATTCTCCGAAGCAAGGTTCAATCCAATTAATATTCACTACGTAAAGTCACCTAGAGCTAAA